CGGTTACCATGGTTACCATTTAATACAATATTAAACACATGACATGCTTAAATCATACATTCTGTAAAGATGATAGAAACATTAAAAAATACACATTGAAATAATAGATGATTTGGCATTTCACAATCACTAATGCTAGTGTAAGCCAGTGTAAATGTATACCATGAAATCAACCCCAAAGCTCGTTCCGCATTTCGCTAGTTATCAAACAAATTGATAAACATGTTTTTTATTACCTTTAATATCTTGAAAATATCGGCAAATACATTAGTTCTGCCATACCACTAAAACACATATAATCTCATGATCTCGGTCTAGGTTGCACTTGAGAGAGAACGGAGCAGATAGTACAAACAAAGCTAAAGCTTAAGAAAGAATTACGTTCCCTCGATCTGTCAGATAAATTATTTTTCATTTCATCTAATCGGAAAATAATCTTTTTTTGCTTCTGATTTTCATTAGTGAAAACAGTAATTTAATCCATTGAGCGTAGAGATTTACTTTCAATGAGGCTCCGAGTAACTTAAAGTCAAGGAAATTGGTTGAACTCGATCTTGGAGTTGGTATCAATGTAACTCAATCAAATGTCATGTCAAGAGCAGGATGGACCTTTCTTATTAATCTTTTAGCGATAATTGGCACTTAATAAAAAGGACCTCCGAGAAATAGTTGTGTATTTCATTTTATACATGAAACCTTTCTCGGGCGTATAGATTTTCTAAATGCGCCTTTTCGATGCACCGTTTTTGCGCGCCTCGAGGTATGTTGGTTTTAGACACTAGTGGTGTTCAAACCCTACTGCGCATGCTATAAACCATTTATGCATCTTGGAAATTATACAATTTCTGTTTATTTTATGAAATTGAGAAATGAGTATGAGATGTGCTACCCCCAAACACATGTGCTACCCCCAAACACATGGCTTAAGTCAACTGGGAATTCTATAATTTGATGAAATCGTTATGTTTTATGAAATGAATGGACGAAACTTGCAGGGAATTGTATACTTTAATGTCCTCTTGCATCATGACGTGAACGTCAAGTTTCAAGGATTGCAGCAATTTATGAATACTTGTTACTTACTGAGTATAATGCATTATTCAAAAGTTTGCGTGAGACCTACCCACACGGGGAGGGTAAGGAATTTGATACACAATATTGCCCCCAGGGGTAGGAATTTGACGAAGATTGTCGCCCCGGGGGTGAGGAATTTGATTTACATGTGCCCGGGAATGGGGACTTTTGACTGAATCTGTTTAGTATACACTTTAGGATTCTCGGAATTTGCAAATGATCGGTAAATTCAGTGAACGAAAGATCGCTCATATACAGAAGAATATAACTCAACTACACGTTGGGTATAGTTTCAGGGGTGGAATTGCTGTGAATAACCGCTGGAGAGAGGGAAATTCTAGAATACTGAGCAGTGTCTTAATTATAGGTTTGTCAAGCTTGTTTTATCCCTCTCTTCGGAAAAATGCACTTCCGTTCTACTTATATTTATAACCTCGTCAAAATTTAATTGATTTAATACTGATGATTAATTTGATTTAAAATTAATTTTTGAAAAGTTTTACGTTCGAACAAATTTTAATTTAATTTAATATAGATGAATAAAACGGAGGGAGGTAACCTATTAAAGTAAAAATCCATTACCTTAAAATACGTCATTGCATAAATTACAAGAGAGCTTTCGAAAATTACTACGATGTGGATTTGTTCCCGATTTGTACCCATCAAACGCAACAATCCGCCCGCCCATTCCACAAAAAATGATCGTTCATACAGGTATGTTCTCCACTTTTGTTGAACAGATACAAACCAAGGGTATATTTTTGTCAAAACTTTCAGGCAGTTTGCGAAAACGTCATAAAATGGACTGTATCTAAGTGGCTTTTAATTTTGCGGGTAATTGCGTCATTTGACGTCATTGCGTCACATCATTTTCTTCAGAAAGCATTATACTGTGCATCGAAATCAAAATCGGAAGCATAGTATTCAGTAGACATGAGGATAATGTTTCCCGTTGACACCAACGTGAAATTACTAATTTCCCGTTCGGAACACGAAACTCTGAAGCTGAACGGTCTCTGAAGTAAGCTAAACCACATACAAAACTATGCGCACTCGACACATTCATGTACTTTCCGTTCGCGTATAGGTTGTGAAAAACAGCGCGAGCTTAAAGTCTCTAATAAGATCAATGAACGGGAAGAATCAAAATTATTTCACACTCTGGTTATATTCGGCAGACAACATCTAAAATTCAGTATCTAAATACCAACGCATTCTTTTATTGTTCATTTCTAGAAAGGAACCAATAAAAGCTCTGATCAATCAAAGTAATACTGACTGCAATACTACATGTGACATCAAATCTTGTGTCGCTCTTAAGAGATTCATTTCATGACAATAAATTAGCCTATTTAATTGAAAATTATCGTACTCAAATGTGTGGTGCTTGATGGCTACTTTTTGCAATTTTATTTTTCTTCTCAATAAATACGGGGTTCAATTAGACAAACAGAGAAATTCAACGATTCCATACAGTTTATATACAAAACAAACTGAAAGCCATTTGGTGAACAATTCAGCGTCCATTTTTTGACGCTCTAGATACTCAATTGAGAGTTAACTCACTGAGGTTCTCTGTGAAGCATTTCAAACGCATCTAGTCCAGTTAAGGTCGATATGAACCAAGAACTTCACCGATAGTGAGTGATAAGGAAAACAAATCAAATAGTCTAACAAAACAGGATCAACGTAACGTGTCAACAATAATCCCGTTTTATAAGGTTTGTCTATCTGTTTCTCCAATACATCCGTCTTTTTACAACTAGTCTTGTCTTTATCAGCTAAATGTTGCAAAGAGATATGCCAATGCTAATCCACGATGCTCTTTTGATAACATATTGTAATTACATCAAGATTCTTTTGATAGAATCGAAATGAATCAGGGAAAATCTATAAACAGTCGAAGCGAAACATTGTAATATGCACATAATTTACTATTGTACAGGGTGTCCAAAAAGTAGAATAGTTGAAGTGAAACGTTGTAATACAAGTATGTGCTGTAGTTATGAGATTAATAATTTACTATTATACAGGGTGACAAAAAAGCAGAACCATTGATTCAGCAGAACCGATTTGTGGGGTCTGTTTTTGGGGTCATCCTGTATATATTAGGGAGTTTAAGCTTGCAATGTTTTTCACGACCTAAACGTGAACGGAAAATATTAATTAAGCGCTGCATTTGTATGGGCGATTGGTCATACGTATAGGTTGGCATTTCGATTTTATATGCAATCTTAAACCCCATCAGTGTATCAAGAGACCCGGGTAAGCATGGGCAAGGGGTATGTACACACATCCTTGGGGCACAGGTCTTCGACCAGAAACTATATTTTATTGTGTTACCAAGGGATTCCCTCAGTGCCTGCTTGGAACATACGGTGCGAAGTAGTGTATTAACGAGGGCATTATATTCCGATTGAAGCAATTGGTCATAGTATTAGGTGGTGTCGTATCATCGCAGCTACTACTTGTTCACTCATTTTATGTCTCAGCTCTGACGAGTAATGAGTTTTGTTAATGAGATCAGTTGAATTACGTAATTACGTATTTGTTGGTCTAATTAATGTTAGTTGCAAAAGTAGTGGAGAAAAAAACAGTAAAAAATCACCCATGACTTAATAAATCAACTGTCACTCTTACTTTGATTTCAGAGTCCCGAAGGTTATTCAAGATGGCTACGTCTAACGCAATTGTTCGCAACTGAATGATAGTATACCATGGCTCTCGAAAATACGACCCCTCATTCCATGGAAGCCGGAACGTTCCAAAATAACAGCTTCAAACCGTTTACCGATATGATCTATTCGAATCAAAATGTGACAAATGTAACGGTTGAACTACCGACGAA